CTCTCCGCTGTCGCCGCAGGGTCGGCGCGGTGCCGGTGACGCTCGGAGCCGCCGCGCTCACGGCCGCGCTGCTGCTCTTCCCCCGGGAAGGCGAGACTCCGGCCCCGGTCGGCGCTGAGGAGGTGAGCCCGGCTTTGAGGGGCCGTACCCGGCTGTGCCCCGAGCCCCGGGGATGGATCTGGGGGCGAATGCGTGGCCCCAACTCCTGCTCTGAACCCCGTGGATGGGCTTTGCTTTGGGAACGGCCCCAGACGGGTGTTTGACCCAGGGACGGGTCCCAGCGGCCGTCCTGAAGCTCCGGGAATGGTTCTTTACCCCGGGGATGGGTTGCCCTGAGGCGCCGGGATTGGGTTTTTACCTCAGATAGCCCCGGGACTCCGGGGATTGCCCTCTGCTGCCGTTCTGGTCTCCTGCGGCTCCTCCTCCGGCACAGGCTCCCCCGGCACGGGCTGTGTCACTCGTGGAGTCGCTAACTATTAATTTCTCTGACTAAATTGCTGATTTGCACAGTGTTCCACCTGACCCGTGGGGTTTGGYTCCCCTCCTCCCGTCCCCAGGGGCTCTTTGCAGGGATTGCACTCCTGCTTTGCTCCCTCCCAGCTCCAGCAGCCTCTGCTCCCTCTCTGCCGCTCCCTTTCCTTATGGTTCTCCTTCCAATTCCGCAGCCTTTCATGCTTTTATTTTCCAGCTTTTTGCAGGGATTTTTTTTAATTTCTTGCACACTGTGCATCCCCCAGCTTTGTTTTCTGTTTAAAGCCCAATAACAGCTCTTTAGCTCTCTTCTAGGCTCTTGCCATGCTTGAGCATGAAGCCATCTGCGTTGTCAGGCACAGAAATCTCCCCCAATTTTTGGATCAGGCTGCCTGARCTGCCACCTCGAGCTCTCCCAGAGCTCCCTGGGCTTTGAACACACAAAGTTTTGCRGCCTTTCAGGTGCCGTTTCCTCTGTTCTATTATTAATGCACGTTAATTACTGCTCTTCTGGTCCTTGTTCTGTGTAAATCCCTACTAAAAGATACTTGTCAGGTTCTTTTCTTCTCTCTGTGTCRCTTGTGACCTGCTCGTGTGAAGGTTAGGAGTGAGATGAAGGGCAGCCCAGCGCCTGTTTGTTGCCTGGGAGGCAAATGGAATTGGAAAGCTGATTTTTTTTACGGATCTTCAATTGGACTGGACCTGCCCTGCCTATCAATAATACATGACCTGGGCTTTCTGTGCCAAAACTCTGCTAATTGGCTAATTAAAAAGTGAAACGTGTGGAAGGAGCCGGCGCTTTGCTCACCAGAGACTCTCTGCAGCAGCGCCAGGGCTGAGCTAATGCGATGGATAAAGCTGAGCTGGGGCTGAGCAGAGCTCTGGGGGGTCTTGGGAGCAGAGAGGGGGATTTCATAAGCAGCCTCCTCACTGCTGGCTGCTCTTTGTGTCTTGCCTAGCTACCACAGCTTTTTTTTTTCAAATTTTAAATTTTTTTTTTTCTTTCCTCGCTGTCTGCCTTCTAAAAGAGAATCGGGGCTGGAGGTTTGTGACTGTGACTGGGGAGAACTGCTTGAGGGCTCAGCTCCTGTCTCCTCCTTGTGCTCAGTGCTGTGCTGCTCCACATTAACATTCCCAGCAGCTTGTGCAGAGATTCTCACACTCCTTTGTCACACGCTGTGCGTCCCACAGAGAGTGCCCGTGCTGGGGATGAAAAGCAAGGAGAGGAATCTGGGGGASCCCCAGAGGTTCTCTCTTCCAGGATGTGCTGTGCTCCCTCCAGGCCCCTGGAGCAGACTGGGGCTGTGATGTGCTGGGATCTTGGTGTTTCTGTTCCCTGCAGATCGTGGACACCTTCTTGATTGGCCGATTCATCCTCCTGGCTGTGATGAGCCTGGTCTTCCTCGGGTGCCTGTTCCTGATCCTGATTTACCACCTCATGGAGCCTCTGTATGCCAAACCGGTCCCCAGCAGCTAGAACAGCAATCTCTGCAAGGAGGAAATCCTAATTTCATGGGGATAAACCAGGAAGAGAGACCAGGAGATGGTTCTGGACATGATCACGACGTTTTTCCTGAGCTCAGAAAGAGCTGGCAAAGCAAATGAAGTGTTGCTTGCACCCAGCGCTACATTTTGCATCCTAAAAAGCAAAGTTTGGTCTGAGCACAAACCCCTTCCTCCTCAAGGGGTTCGAACTTCTGCACCTGCAAAGGTGTGTGAACCTCTGARTCCTGTTTTTTACAGGACAGCTGAGATCCAGGCACTTGGTGCTGCCCCTGATTCAGGGAATTGAACTGAACCGAGATGGTTTGTTATTGTATGGTTTGTTACTTCTCCTTTTTCACTATGGTTTAATAAAACCGTTTGAAAAATCCCTGGCTCAGGCTTTATTCATTCTGCAGGAGTGTCACATTTGGCCACCCTGTGGTGACAGTGCCTCTGAGAACTGCCTTTTTCTGGGGCAGTTTGAGGGGCAAACATGGGGGTTTGAGGAAAAATAACCAAACATCAGTGCATGATTATGGATTGTTTGGGATGGTCCTTTGGGCTGGAAATATGGGGACTTGGAGCAGGGAGTGAATAAAGTGCAAAATAATGCCTGAGCAGGAGTGAGGGAAAAGCTGTGTCCCACTCTCSTGTGCTGAACAGTCCTGCCAGCCATGGAACACCCCCTTGCTGATACCTGGGTGTTCCCTGCCTGGGAAGGGCCCCGAGGTGTCACCCTGGATGCCACCAAAGGTTCACAGTTGCTGCTACCCCGTAATTTCAAACCCATGCACATCTCTAGCACAGATCCTGCTGCAGCTGCTGGTCAGCTCCAATACCTTCCCTGTCCCTCTTTTCCCCTCTTGGGGGAGAAAACTCTCTACAGGTTCTACAGGAGCAGCAGTGGGGATGAATCCCATTTTTCTCCCTGTTTTTGGGGGGTAGCCACGGGACAATCCCTCTGAAGCAGAGCCTGTGTTGAGATGAACTTGTGGGCATCAGTGATCGGGGCTGTCTGCAAAGCCATTGCTGCAGCTCATTTTCCTGCACAAAATCTCAAAAGGCTTTTAAAATGCAGGAGGAAAGTGTTTTGGTGGCCTGGATCATCCTGTGAGTGTTTCAGAGCAGGAAAGAAGCCTTTGCTCACAGGTGTCCAGGTTGTTTGGCTCACATTTTCCAGCCCCACAGGGATGGAGCTGCTCAGCTCCAGGCAGTGAGACAGCCCTGAGCRGTTGTCAGGGTCAATACAGCCAAAAACTTGAGGGCAGAATCTTAGATTTTTAATTTTTTTCCCACTTTAGAGAATTTTTTAAAAATATTTTTCATTTTGAAAGGAATTAAATTCAAGAACCAMCTGGCTTCTTCCAGCCCTGTCCTGACAGCTGTCACTCACCAAACAGAGCTTTCAGGACGTGAAAGATTGATAAGGCAGAGCCAGTGGGCGCGGAGGTGATGCTTCCCTGGTAGAAAATGCCCCAGCACCCCAGAGCACTGACTCAGCCAGCTAAAAAATGTAAGCACATTCCTAAAAAAAAAGCAGAGCAGAGGCAGATCCACCCTAGAAATGCTGAATCCCTTCCTGTCCCTGCCTGCATCCAAGGGAGCCGAACGATCGCGTTAAGGAACGCGCCGAGCATTTATGCACCACCAGTGCTTTGGGTTCTCTTGGTGGTTTTTGTTATACCTGAAGCAAAATTCATATTTAATTCATCATCTTAATAACTTTTGTGAACACGGAGCTTGTCTGGCAGCTCCAGCTCTGTGCCTGCCGTGTTGTTATCCCCCTGTTTGTGGGATGGTTTGGGAAGYCTCAGCTTCGGTCTGACAGATGGGAGGGAAACCACGGCAAAAGCAGCTGGAGCACTAAAAATCCAACCCTGAAAGCAAAAATGTGAAACTTCTCCCCATTTTGCACTGTAATTAAAGCCAAATAARGGCTTTTTCTGTATYTTCTTTTTCTGTATCTTAGTCTGTTTGTGACTAAAATGAGCTGAAAGGCTGATAGTGCAGGAGTTATTTTGGGGAGAGCAAAAAGCCATGTTGCCAGAGAGGCATGGTAACTCCTGCTCAAGGAGGCCATTTCTGCATTTTTTTCCCCAAAAATCCCCTTAACTGGGGAAAGAGCCTCATGTGCTCTCACCCCCACCAAGACATTTTGAGATTCACCCTCATCCTTCACAAGCCTTGGCAGCAGGGAGCAAACAGCTGGATCAGCTCAGCCCAGCCTCTCTGTATATTTATTTATTCTGTGCAATTCTGCTCCTCCCYGCACAGGGGCTTTCCAAAGAATTCCTGTTTATTTTTGGAAAAGGAAAGACCACGTCAAGGAATTGGTATGAGCCAGAGCTGCTTCCCAACCAGCCCCAAATGGTGATTTTTTTGTTTCCATCCTCATCCCAAACTTTCATCTCCTGGAGGAGGACCTCTTGCTAGCACATCTGCCTCCGTCTCTCAGCCTAATCCTTTATTTTGGAATTAATTTGCCAAAGAATGGAAGGTTAGTCCCAAACCCCAACCTCTCAGCTGCTGCTGAGGGTGTAGGGACTGTGGATGTTGTTACAGCCCCTCTCCAGCCCAAACTGAGCCAGCCTTCCTCTCACAGGATGGGAGAACCAGATCCACCGTGTCCCGAGAGAAGACCCCCACCCAGGCAGAAAATCGGGCTGAATCYCAGTGAAAGAAACCTAAAAGACACCGTGTGTGTGCCAGGAGGGGGGCAGACTGGCTGCCTTTCAAGCCAGATGGGAAAACAGCCCTTTTTCCTCCCAAAATTCCCTATCAGAAATGCCCAGTGATGCTCCTGCCCCGGGATGTGGTGCCCAGCTGGTGCCAGCCYCAAAGCAGACACGGAGGGAGCTGAGTCTGCAGGGGAAACTCCTCTCCTTGATTTAAGAGCCTTGAACGACGGCAATTCCTCACGTCTCACACYGCTCTCTGCCGGCACTTAATTACCCTCGCTGGAAAAACTGCCCTCACACTTCCACCTTGACTTTGCTGACTTCAGCTTCCCCGCTGCTGGATCCTCATTTGCCTTTGGCTGCTAATTAAAAAGCCCTTCAGCCTCAGCCAGCTGCTCCCTGCATAGGTAATCACAGACTGTGCCCCAGCCACCTCCTCACCTTCCCYGCAGACCCAAAATTTGTTCCCCCAAAATCTGAGCAGCCCCTTCCCCATCTGCCTCCTGGTGAGTGGGGTTGTCGTGGTGGGGGTCAGCTACAGAAAAACCCAAATGCTGTGTTGATCAAACCTAAAGAGCCCATTTCAGGGGGATTTGTCCCATCACAGCATACATGGATAGAACCCATTTCAGGGGGGATTTATCCCATCACAGCACACGTGGATAGAAGTGGACAGTGTCCATGGCAGAGGAATATCAGTGCCCCCTTCTCCAGCAGAGGAGAACAAAGCAAGCTGTCCCCCAGACTCCTCCCAGACCAGCTCAGCTCCATTTAAACAGATTTTTGGCCAAGGCAAACCCAGGGGATCCCCTCTCTGCCTCCCCGCTCACCCCTCAGTTCCACAGCTCGGGGAGATCTGGAGTTTTCTTTGGCATTTGGCTCTTTTTATGTTAAGTTTGAAACTGCCATGGGCTGTGTGCCCTTTCTGCTTGCTCCTGGCAGCACAGCCAAGGCTGTTCAGACTTTCCAAACATGAGTGGGACACGGCCCAGGCCTAAATTTGTCCCGGAAAATTTGTGAGCAGCTGAAGGAACAGGCAGGAGGGGGAGAAGGAAAAAAAAAAAAAAAAGGAAGAAAGAGGGGAAAAAAATCCCCAAATCAACTTGCTGTTGCAAGAAGCCCCCATGTGTGTCAGGGTTTATGGGATTTTTTGCTTGAAAATGTATTTTGAGGCCCTCCTCCACAAGAGAATGGTTATTGAGTGTGAAAGCTCCATCACATGTGCACTGAATGAGCCATTCTCAGCCCAGCACGTGGCATCCCTGTGGGCAGTGAGGGTCCTGTGTCCTCAGGGGCCACATGTGCCACCGGTCTGGGGACACTGCAGGGTCAGCCCTGGGGCTCTGCTGAGGACAGACCCTGTCCTGACTCCTCTCCCTATGGCTCCACCAGGGTTTGGCCCAGCAGGATTGGTATTTTCCTGGGGAAAAGAGCAATGGGGGATTTTGTTTTTCTCTGCCTGCTCCTGGCTTTTTTTCCCAGCGAGTTTCCAGGGCCCATTGAGCATCACTGGTCAGAGGGGAGGGGATTGAAAGCCATCACTGTTTGTACACCTGCAGCTGCCACTCTCCAAGCTGCCCATTCCCCTGTGCCACTCCATCACCTTCAGAGCTTTACAGGGAGCTGATCCAACTGGCTAGCCAGTTTCCTCCTTTTTTTTTCCTCCCTTTTTTCCGCTCTTTGCTGATGAAATCACCACTTAATAAAATCACATCAGGCCCAGGTGTTTTCTTCTCGGGTCAGAATCCAAGGAGGTGAAGTCAATTAGAGCTCCAGCCCCTGGCAGAGGGCGCTGCCCTGCCCCGGGCACAGAGCCGGAGCTTTCCCCGGGCTGGACGCGCATCCCGCGGCTTCCGAGCGCATCAAAGCCGGGCACCCCCCGGAGCACACAGCTGGCTGCACAGCTGGCCCTGCCTTCACTCGAGTGACACCGCGGGGGCCCCTGAGCCCCATCCCCGCCCGGGGAGCCTGCGGGGCTGCAGCCCCTCCTCATTAGGAAGTGTCTAATGAGGTTCATCAGCTGCCCGCAGCGGACCGAGTGCTCGCCGTGGGGTGGGGGGCGGTGCACGTTCTTATTTTGGGGCTAAACGGTGTGATTTCGGAATATTAATAATCGGGGAAAACATTGGGTTTGGTTGTTTTTTTGCAGCGGGATGAGCCAAGGAGTGAACCCAGTTTAATTTGGGCTGAGCCCAGGGGTGTTCTCTGCGTAGAATAAGCAGCGTTTTGCCTGAAGTGATTTGGCATCATCCTCCCGATCCAGATCGTGGAATATCAAGATTTGGTTGGGGTAGGCTCACGGACAAGAGACTGCAAGGGGAGGAGAASAACGAGAGGGCGGTGATCGCTGCCCCACAGGCTCGGCTGAGCCCCGGCTGGACACGGCACGGAGCGGCCACACAGCTTTTGCACATTTTTATTAATAAAACGGCCGATGGTGAAGAACGGACCCAGAAAACCGCTTGGCCAGGGYCCTTTGACTGCTCCTCGCCCCTGCCTCCGCTGGAAGCCAGCCTACGGTGGCAGCGAGCCCCCGGGGCCGTGCCCGAGGCCGGGCTGTGCCGAGACGCTCCCGGTGCGCCCCGGCCCCTTCTCCTCCCTCCGGGCTCGGGGCGGCTCAGAACTCCTTAAACCTGCGGGGAGAGAAGCGAGCGGCTGAGCCCGAGGGCAGCGCCCCGCAGGAGCTGGGGCCGATGGTGGACGCTGCGATGCTGCCAGAGAGGTGAARAAGGAAAATCATCTGTGCCGGGAAAGCCCAGCCCCTTCTGCACCGCAAGGAGGAGAAGCAGGCGCAAGGAGGAGATGCAGCCACGGTTTTGTCTCCGGCCAAAGCTGAAAAGTCCCCAAAAATCCGACAGTTTGTGCCTTTAATCTACGAGCTGCTCCCCAAAGCTCTCAAGACGCTGCAGTATTTCCACAAACGGAGCCAGCTGCTCCCCTCAGCAGAAAGCAGCTGGAATTCGGTGCAAACACGGATGCTWTGAACCCCTCCGGGCCAGTCCTCACCCTAACCAGCCCCGGCACAAGAGAGCAGAGCCAGAGCCCTCCACCAGCGGCCAGAGAAGGAGATTTGGGCCGCACTTACCACAGCACGAGGCCCAGCCTATTGGTCTTTCACCTGCAAACACAAGACATAGGGGACAAAACGTTCGCAGGGGGCTCGGGGTCTGGCAGCCCCACTGCTGGGATGGCTGTGGCCCCTTCCTCGGGGTGTCACACGGGGATGTGGGTGGCAATCGGAGCCAGGCCAGTGATGATTTGGGGATTATTTACACGCTCGCTGCAGTGATTCTGCTGCAGGTTTGATTAGCGAGCCCTGGATGTGTAATCAAGCTCAGCAGCACAGGTGGGCAAAGCTTATAAATTCAGGTGTTTCAAGGGCATTAATCAATCCAAATCGATYGGGCATCAGAGCCAACATCTCTGTTGCCAGAGACAAGGATGCACTGCTCAGCCACATCCTGCTCTCCCCACGCCCCCATCCCACCCCACCCCATTCTTCCCCAGCCATTTCAATTCAATCTTTTGATTCCCAAATGCTGATCTCAGCCCTAAGCGATTGGGGGAGTGGCTATTTCTAGGYTGAGCCTGCAAAGTGAAACTCAGAATCAGAAGGAATCAGGCTTGTGTTTGCATTTAATCCTCAGAGCTCAGGCTGAGGTACTTACACCGAGCTACTTCCCATCCATCACTGACTCTGTTAGCTGCACACTAGAGCTACAAAGACACAAGGACGGCGTTTTTAGCACCCCAAGTGTTTTTTTTTTTTAGGCACAGAGGGTTAAAATCCCCCAGGTGCTGCCTTGGCTGGAGGTGGGAATGTCTCTGTGGCCACAGGGGCGTGTGGCTGCACCAAGCCTGGCACAGTGCCCGTGTGGAGACGCAGCAGCGACAGCAAGGGATAGCAAACATCTTTCTGCAGTGGCAGCAACGCCGGGGTTCGGCATGGCGGGGCCAGAGGCTGCCCCGGGGCTGTGACTACGTACCCTCTCTGCCTCGCCATGGGGCCACACCAGCCACGGGCCTCCTTGACCACCACACGAGCAAGGAGCTGCAAGAGGAACGGCAGAGAATTACTGTGAGCCTGGTGGCTCTGCAGCCTCCAGCCTTGGCAGGAGCGTTTCCATCACYAGGAGATCAATTCTACAGCTCTTCCTAGCAGAAGTATGAACTAAATCTGTGCGTRGAGGAGGGGGGTGTTGGGAAAAGCCGAGTGAAAGCAGAGGTTTGGAGCCAACACAGGCTTTGCAGCTCGCCCTGTGCCCGGATGTCTTCTGAGAACCACCTGTACCCCCCATCAGGGAGCAGACAGCAAAGAGGGAGACTGTGAAAGCCCAGGGTGGAGAAAGGAGTCCAGCCAAGGAGGAGACACCTACCAGACAAGCCAGGACGTCGGCTGCTATCAACATGTAAAAGACGTTATTCCAGCCGGTGGGAGAGATGAGCCCYGCCAGCAGCGGCCCCAGCGCGGCACCTGCCAGGGGACACGAGCCCCATCAGCCCCTGGTCACACCTGGGAGGGGACAGGGACACCCCACAACCAGCACCCCCAGCCATACACACCGACCGATCCCGTGCCGTCAATGATGGCTGTGACGGTCGAAAGGGCTTTGGCGTTTCCTTTGAGAGATTCGTGGGTTCCCTGCAAGGAGGGAGGAATAAAACACAAGGAGCAAGAGCAGCTTTGGGGTGCATAGCTGGAAAATCCCAGGGCAAAGTCAATGTTCGAGGTAGCAATTTCTGTGTATCAGACCCAGCCACAAATGGGAACACCAAACTCAAATGCTGCCTGCAGCCAAACCATGGCAAAACCAACAGCAGGCAGAAATTCCCTGGTGATTTGCCACCAAATATTTCCACTCTGCTTGTGCTCAGAAGGAGATACAGCAAAGCTGAAGCACAGTCGTGTGGCCAAGGTGAAAAAACAACAGGAAAACCCCCTGTGTTTAAGGGAGGGTGAGGAGCACAGCACCGGGTGTGACAGCTCTGCCCTTCTCCACTGGGCTTTGGAGTGGATAGAAAATAAAAGCAAAAAGCAAAAATCCCAGCAAAACATCCCTCTGGGAAAGAGGGAGCAGCCTCTGGGTGTGCCAGGGCAGCGAGGCGGGGTCTGAGGTGCACCTCTTACCAAATCTGCCGACACCGCTGTTGTGATGAGCGCGTAGGGCCCATTAACCAGAGCACCACAGATGATCAGCATCGCTGCAGAGGTACCCGGGGAGAGATTAAACCTTTAGGTGCAGGGAGCAGCAGGACATCGGGTCCATCACCCCCAGTCTGTGTGCAGACATGGCTGTCCCATGCCTCCATCTCCTGTGCATCTCCGTTTTCACGTGGAGATGCCACCCAGCAGGCAGGGAACACTCATCCAACCCCACCCTCCCCAAAATTCAGCCCAGGAGCCTGGCTTGAGTGGGGGAGTAAAGGCAGCTGGATCCACAGCATCTTCCATCGCCACTTCAGTGAGGGAAGCTGGCTGCAGCACAGAGCTCCTTACCTATGGATGTGCCAATGCCATTCTGACCCACGTGGTTGTACAGGAACAGCTGGAAAAGARACACAAGGTGAAGCACTCACAGCTGTTCCAGCTGTTTTACCAAGCGTTTTCCTTGCAGCAGCACGCTGTGGGTGGGATGGAGAATATGGGGACCTGAATTACTGCTGGTGCCAAACACCAGCGGGGATGGGGGCTGAGTGCTCCCCTGACCTCTGCATCCCTGCCTGATGAAATTCCTGGCAGCTGGCACACAGAGGTGCTGCCACGATTTATGGCCGGCTGCAGCCAGACTAATTTGCCCCAGTGGTGCCATGGACGTGAGGCAGCCCCTCTGCCTCCCAGCGTGAGCCAACTCCTTCGGTGGGAGAGGCTCCCAGCCCAGAGCCAGCCAGGGCTGGATTACAGCTAATTAGCCACGTTGTGGAAGCCAAGCCAAATGAGCTCCGTGCAGGTGCTCAGGAAGGACGTCCAGGCCAAGATCCAGCAGAGCATGAGGGGATTTTGGGATGAAAATCAAAGAGACAAAAGCTGGACCGGCTCGGTGGGACCCCCAAGGCTTTGAGCAGAGTTATGGCAGGATGGAAAAAAAAAAACCAGAAAACGACATGGTTTTTTAGTTGTCAAGGTCTGTACAATCCCCTCCCCTAGAGTTGGACATCCTTCCCAGGAGCATCTGGGCACGTGAATCAATCCCATCTCTCATCCCATGACCGGCTCATCCYGGGGGCTGCTTGGGCCGTGACTCAAAGGAGCCAGAGGAGATGAAACCCTCGTGACGGGCTCTGAGCCCGCGTGACTGCTCACCATGGGAGCAGCCACCACCAGCATCACGCAGCACGTGGTGGCTCTGCCGCCTGTGTAGTCAGAGATGAGGCCGGCAAAGATCCCCCCTGCAAGGAAGAGCCACAGGTGTCAGTCACAGCATCCCAAAACGGCAGAGCTCTGCCCTGGCTTAGCCCAAAATCCCACATGATGYTCTATCATCCCCCATCTTCTGACCAGCATTGCCCCCAAGGTTAAACACAATRATATCAGAGTGGAGAGCTCTGATTTATCCCTTCCTCGCTGCAGATGGTTTCTCAGCACTTCCATGCAGCTCTGGTCTCTTCCATGCTTGCAAAGTGTGTTATTTATTTAAGGAAAGGGAATGCCTGAGCAAGCAAGGCCTGAGGAGAGAGACTGTCATGGTCACCAAAACAACAGGATACCAAAATAAAATTGAGGAGTTTTTGCTGTCTGCTGAATGCTGTGAATAAACCTCTCTGGGGAAAGAGGTGGTGTTGMCTGTGGGGTGGACCAGCCAAGGCTGGTTGAGGCCAGAATTGTCTGGAAATCATCCCTGATCCACCCCCTCCAGCCCGGCACGCTGACGAACCTAAAATACCCCCGACATCAAAGAGGGTCGACAGGTCCCCGGCTTCCTTGGCACCGAAATGAGCTGCAGGGAGAGGAGAGGGGTCAGGAGATGCTTCCCTTTCGAGGCTCCATCCCCACTGTCCCCAGAACTCACCAACATTGACRATGTAGAGGGGCAGCCAGTACAGGAAGGTGTAGCTCACCAGCTTGGCAAAGAGCAGGCACAGCGAGAACTCCACCACGCCCTGCCAGGAGAGGAGAGGACATCAGAGGAGCCTCCTTCTCCCAGCCTCCTCCAGACCCATTTTCTGCCCTGGGGACACCCTGTTGATGGTCTGAGCTGCTCTGGCTTTGCTCTTTCCTCCATCCTGGCACTCACAGGTATCCGAAGTGCCCCGAGGAAGCTGATGGCTTCGGGCTCCTCAGCCGGCTCCTTGGGGCCATTGGAGTGATCCACACTACTCTGGCCCGAGAGGCTGAGTGGGCCCTCGTTGGAGGKGACTGATTCAGGATCCTTCTCACTGGTGGTCACTCCTCCAGGATCCTCATCACAGCCCGTCTAAAAGTGAGCCAAAAGCAGGGGATGAGACACTCACGGCTGGAGAGTCAAAACATTGGATCTGCTGCCAGGGTGTGGCCCAGAGGATGCTCAGAAGATGCTCAGAGGATGTCCAGAAGAGCTGGACACAGCTGTGACAGCTGAACATTGCTCTGATTGCTGCTATCACATTCCCGTTGGGAATTTGGTGAGACTCACGTGATGCAGAGGGGGGTTGCAGTCAACATCCTCAGGATCTGCAGGGAGAAAGAACACCCTGTGAAAGCCTGGACCAACCCCACCACCTGCTSTCCTTCCAGCATCCCACAGGGCTGGGGACCCCCAGATCTGGGATGCATCTAYGGCTACCCTCTTCCCCTGTGAAATCCCAAAGGATTTTCCAGGTATTTCCTAGCAAGAAATACCTAGCAATGCTCACAGGAATGACTGGGACAGCGCCTGCTTGGACGACCCAAGAGGATGCTGAGCGTCCCTGTGGTAGCCAGAGCCACATGCCTGCTAGCCACGGGTTGGAAATAAATATTTGGGATTGCCAAAAATGCTTGGAGATAGACAAGGCAGAAAATTATGTATATTACAGTGGTTGTCTGCTGTGCCCCAGATCACAACACTCACACTCCACGAGGAAGAAGAAGCAGATGATGCCCACAGTGGTGATGATGATGCCGGGCACGACGAAGGACAGGCCCCAGGCTGAGGAAACCCAGGCACCAGCGATGAGCGACCCTAAGATGTTGCCAACGGACGTGTGCGAGTTCCAGATGCCCATGATCAAACCTCTCCTGGGGGGGACACGGCCGGGTCAGYGTCACTGGGGTGGTCAGCAGGGACCAGGGCTGGCATGGGACACGTAGGAACACGACTCACTTGCCCTTCCCAAACCAGTTCCCGACACACGCCACGACCGCAGGCCAGCCCGTGGTCTGCACCAGCCCATTGCACACCTGGTGAGAGATGGGAGCATCACCCAGCAGCCACCAACTGCAGCTTCTGTGCTGGTTTGGGCAGCTGGGCTCAAAAACAGCCGGCCCTGTTCCAAAACTCTTAAGAAAACATTTGGTTTTTCCCCTGTTGGGGCAATCCTGGAGCCTTTGCATCGCTGCCATGGCTAAACTGGGAGTGGTTGGTGTTGCCAAACCAGCTGCCCGCACGGCTCGGAGCCGGGCACACCCGCCGGTTTCGACGCCCACACCACGCACAGCCAGATTTTGCAGGGAATGGAAACACTCAGTGCTGCCCTGCTCAGGAACTGGGCCACCCCAGCCCCTGAAGGCCACTGAAAAACTGGGATGAGGCCACAGTGATAGAGCCAGGGCATCCTCCGGCACAACACACCTGCACAACGATGAAGTACCAGAGGACGTGGATGTCCCAGAAGTAGCCGAGGCCAAAAAGGGCGGTGAAGAGCCCGCTCAGCACCATCCCCCCYGACAGGTAATAGCGCAGGGGGAGGCGCTCCCCAAAAATGCCGCTGCAGAGAGAGGGAAGAGCACAACAGAAGCTGTCATGGGCAATGCCACCGATGGGTGTGATCACAGCGCCTGAATCCTGAGAGGATCCCTGGCTGCTTTCCTGTGAGCATGACCCCATCCCAAACCAGTTTCAGGCACACTGGTGCAAACTGGTGTGTGGAGGGAAAGGCCCTGGTACCTGATGAACATCCCGATGGCGTAGGCCACCAGGAAGGCATTATCCAGCGCCCCAAAAAGCTCCTTGTAGTTGTCCCCATCTGGAAAACAAATATTAGGGCCACCTCAGCCTGGCCCCCATTTGGTGTCCCCTCCCCGTGGCTGCTGGCTTAGGGTTGTGCCCCGTTCTCCAAAGCCAGGTCTCCATGGGGTTTCTGGGAGCGTGGCCAGATGCCATCAGCACCAGGACCTGCTCCTGCCCTGTCCTGGATTTCACCACCCACTGCTGCCCTTTGGCCTGGGGGCACGGGACAGACCTCAACACTTAATTACCTCCGGGTGCCTAACGAGCAGCCGGCCCCCTGCCAAACCCCAGCCACGACCCGCTTTTAGGGAACGGGGGAGCCCAGCTCRGCTGCCACGAGCGTGGGTTTTGGGGTGTCTGGGAGGCTCAGCCTTACCAAAGGGGGCCCAGCTGCACCATGTGGTGCTGTTGGAGTCATTGCGGGGGTTGGGGCCCAAGGCGGAGCAGTTGGGGTGCAGCTGGCTCTGCAGGGAGAGAGAGGGGGTGAAATCGAGCTGCTGTCATGTCCCCAGGTCCCCTCTGCAGGCTCCCTGGCCCCACAGCTGTGAGRMTGGAGCTCACCTTGACGATGCTGATGGGTTTTCGGGAGAGGTGGTAGCTGGTGTAGGAGAGGAAGGTCAGCACCAGCGTCAGTCCCCGATAGCTGTGGGAGGGAGCAAAGGAGAGGTCAGGGTTTGTGGGACAGGGATGGGTGACCTCAGCACCCAGTGGGACTCCTACTGAATTAGTGACCTGAACCAGCTCAGCTGAGCTGCTCAGGAAGTGAACAGCCCCCCCAAAAAAGCCCAGGATGCTAAAAAAAGATCAGCTGAGTTTTGTGGGGAGCATCAAGCAGTGTTTCCACCTCCCCRAGCAGTTCCATCCCTATGAAACACRGGGTGAGCAAGGGCCTTCCTGGTGTCATGAGTGGAAACTGWGCTGATTCATCACTGCCAGGGTTAATTAAAGATTAGCTGGAAAAAGAAAACAGGGGGGTGGAATGCCCTAGGTAATACCAGCTCCCCTTCCTCYACCAAACAGCCACTACATCATTTTTGTTTGGGTTAAATGCAGGGAATTATTGGGGTAATAGGAGTCTGGGCTCAGGGAATGGGGATGCTGCTCCCATCAAAGCTGACAGATAAAGCCTGGAGAATCCCAAGTAGGATCCAGCACTCTCTGGAGCAATCTGAGCGTCTCTGAAGGAACTACCCTGCCTTTAGGAATGGTTTTATGGCAGCACAGAGGATGTAAGTGATCAGGGGCAGCAGCTGCAGCACACAGACATGTCACGGGATTGCTCCAAGAAAAAAAACAACTTTTTTTTTGTGGTTTTGTCTCATCCTGCTTCTCTTTGCAGTTTCACTTCTCCCTGGAGCTGCAGCAATGACAGGTGCCCTGCAAATCCAGGGTGGCTCCCTGTGTTGGGGTGCCGGCTCCAAGGCTGCACTTCAGCTGAGAAACTGCAGCTTCCCACCCCAAAAAACTAATAAATCACCCAAAATCACTGCTAGTGACCATGGGGCTGATCCAGGAGGAGCAGAGAGGCCACAGCAGGGAAGGGGAAGGGAAACTTCACGTGCAGTCACTTGAAGTGGTGGTGTTTTTTTTCTATTTACCCTTTGTGTTCTGGCAGGGAAAATTCCAGCTGATGGAAAAGCAGGGTAAGTGTTTGGCAATGGGCTTCCAAAAAATCCAAATATTAATTGAAATYCAATGGGCAGTGGGCCCATCACCTCGTGAAAAGAGAAGGCAGCCGGTGGGGTCTCTGTATTGGCCACATCCCACTAATTYTGAGYGTGCCCTRMTGGGTGCTGCTGCCCACCTTGGGGYTCCCCCACYCCCCATCCTGGGSCAGGCTGCAGCCGGTGTGGGCTGATCCCATCGAATGGTGGGTCCAGTGCCTGAGGGCAATGCTGGGCCCTGGGTGAGTGACCCCCAACCCAGTCCCCACCGAAGGTCTCRTCCCCACCCTGGTGCTGGTCCCATAAAACGCGACTTGCCAGTCCAAGTCTGGTCCCTGTCCCAGTGCTGGTCCCCAGTGATCTCCAGTCCATCACTGGTCCCGGTGCTGGTCTCCAGGCTGGTGCCAGTCCCTGGTCCAGGGTCAGTCTCCATCCCAGTGCCAGTCCCGATGCCCAGGGCCGGTCCCCATGCCCAGGGTCAGTCTCTATCCGGGTTCCACTGCCAGGGATTGCYGGTCCCCAGCCCAGTGCCACCACTCCTCCCTAACCCAGGCTGACCCCTGTGCCGGTTCTGGTCCCCATCCTGGTGTCAGCTCCTATGTCCAGGGCCAGTCTCTATCCCAGTGCTGGTCCGGGAAAAAGTGAGACCCGTTCCAGGCTCTGCCCCATCCCGGTGCAGATACCCTGCCCCGTGTCAGGTCCTATCCTGGTGACAGCTTCAATTCTGGTGACAGTCCCAATCCCGGTGCCGGTCCCCATGTCCAGGACCAGTCCTGGTCCCTTTGTCCTGAGACGACCCCTTATGTCCAGAGCCGGTCCTGATCCCAGTCTCTATGTCCAGAGACTGTCCTTGTCCCGGTGCCGATACTTTGTCCCACGTCAGTTCCTATCCCGGTGACAGCCCCGATCCCGATCCCGGTCCCCATGTCCAGGGCCGGTCCCGATCCCGGTCTCTATGTCCAGAGGCGGTCCCAATCCCGGTCCCCATGTCCAGGGCCGGTTCCGATCCCGGTCCCCATGTCCAGGGCCGGTTCCGATCCCGGTCCCCATGTCCAGAGGCGGTCCCGATCCCGGGCCCTTTGTTCCGATCCCGGTCCCCATGTCCAGAGACGGTCCCGATCCCGGTCTCTATGTCCAGAGACTGTCCCTGTCCCGGTGCCGATATTTTGCCCCACGTCAGTTCCTATCCCGGCGACAGCCCCGATCCCGGTGCCGGTCCCTTTGTCCCGATCCCGGGGCCGTGCCCCCCATCCCGCTCCCCGATCCCGCTCACCGGCTGTCCCGGGGGAGGGCGCGGAGCAGGCGAACCCCGGGGGCGAGCGCTGCCCTCATGGCGGGCGGCGGCGGCGGCGCTCGGGCACCCCCGGCTCCTTTTCACCGCCCCCGGGGCCGCCGCTCCCGCCCCGCCGGCCCCGGTCCCGCCCCGGCCCTGCCCGGGCACAGCCCCGGCTCCCCGGCCCCGAGGAGAGAACCGGGCTGTCCTCGCTCCCGCTGAAACAAAAATCCACTTCAGATCCGGCTGGAACGAGGGRACAGCCGCGCTGGGCAGTGGGACAGGGGCAAAGCCCCGAAGGGACCGACCAGCCCCGTTCATACCCCCCCGGGCCTCTGTGAGCTTCCCCCCTTGGTGCTGTTTTCTCCAGCAGAAAAAGCTGCATTTAACTTTTCCACTCTCTTTCCCAGCARCCCCCGAACAGGCTTCGCTGCCCTAAAGTTGATTTGGGATTATTTCCAGGGATTTGAGGAATCCTTATCCTCCCCCCACTAAAGCATCCCATTTATCCTGCTAGGGGGAGATCGAGGATCAGGAGCAACAACAGCTTTATTCAGTCATCACTCCTTTAACTAAGCCCCAAATCAGCCCACAGTCCCTTTGGGATCCCTCCAGAGAGGCAGCAACAGGAGTACAGGGGTGCCTGGGGCCTGAGCAAGGCTTTGGGGACCTGCCAAGGAACTGCTTGTCCTCAGCTGCCCTAGAGCTGAAATCAGTTACAAAAAACCCATTTGCAGCTTCAGCCCTTTGCTTCCCTGCCCCCTCCAAACCCACTCCAACACCCTGAGTTAGGGCTGCAGCACCTTCCCCTGACGCAAGCAGTTGTTAATAAACAGCATCAGCCACCGCGGACCCCTCAGTGAATGATTCTCCAGGGGAAGCAGAGGAGCAGTTGCTGGCTCTGTGCCCCTGTGCTACCTCTGGACCGGGGTCGTGGGTTTGCTCTGTGTCCAGTGGGATGGGAAGAGGGAMGAGAAATGATCCGGCACGCTCGGCCACCCATCCTTCCTGCCCTGGTTAATATTGGAGAGGAKGGCCAGCGAGGAGTAAATATTAATGATGTGGTACGGAGTAACCTCCGCCCAGCTCCACGATACCCCACTACAGGCAGGTTTGACAAAACCCACCCTGCTCCACCCCTGCAAAGGGCTGGAGGTTTTTTTGCTAGAAAAATGCTCCTTTCTGGAGCAAAGGAGAGGCTATGGAGCGTGGGTCAGGTACAGAGCTGCGTGGGTGTTACTGGAAGAGAGGTCTTCACATGGAGAAGGAAAGAACAATAAAAGGCTGGCTCTGGAAGGTGATCCCAGTGTCASGGGCTGGCAGAAGCCCTAGGAAAAGGGAGAGAAGGGAGCAGGGAAAGGTTAGAAATCCTCCTGTAAGAGACACTGACCCCTGGCACCTTATTTCTCCTCCTTTCACATTTCAAATGAGACAATCCTTGAAAACAGTTTATTCCACAGGCAAATGCCAGAATGTAAGTGCCTGCCATAAACCAACCCCACAGAGCAATTGTCTCCTTCACCTCGACCATCGCCCCAGCCAACTGCACACCCGGAGCAGGGTGGGAGAGGCACACAAACCCGGAGAGCAAAGGTGACATCGTCCTGGCAGCTGGCGTGGAGGGACAGGCAGGACACGGCCCAGCTCCCACCGGGACACGGAGCTGCTTTGGTCACAGACGCTTCCCGGAGCGAGCACAGAGAGCAGCCAGGCCCCGGAGCGGCCGTGTGGCCGTGTGGGCGCAGGAGGTGATGACAGAGTGCAGTGCCTGGCTGTAGGCTGAGCAGGACAGACACAGAAATGGGGTCAGGGCACGAGATCAGCACTTACGGCCCCAAACTGGGCTTGGCTCTCGCCTTTCACCCGGAGCAGAGATAATTGGGGTTTAAGGTAAATCGATGTGCCTGGAGTTTTCCACACACGCTCCCAAACAGAAAGCGGTACAGAAGCTGMAGATTATTTTATGAACACCAATTTCTCTATTTTCCCTCCCAGATGACTCCCATTTGCCCAGGCATGTACTYTCCCAAGCTGCTCAAGGTCAGAGCACTCCATCATTAAGGACAGCCCTTTCCACACCTTTGTGCACCTTCCCAGCAGAAGATTCAGCTTTTAAGGAAGAGAGCTCTGTGCTCCTAATAAGATGCTTTGCAGCATTGCTGTGTCCCCAGCCACATGTGACCCTGCCACGGGTGTGTTATTTAACACATTGTAGGGGCTGGTGCTTTGCTGRGGATGCCACTCCCTAAGGGAAAAGGTTGGGTCAGGCAGCAAAGCCTTTCCTTGCCCTCTCCAGAGCATATTTGGAGCAGCATMTCTACACAGCAGCCCAGGAGCATGGAAACACCTATTCTAGTTTGATTTCTCCTTGTCTAATCAGGGATCCAGGCCCAGATGTCTCCTCTCTGGAAGCAGGAGCTCCTACCTTTGTGGTTTTTGTAGAAGACACAGTTATTGGCGCAGGTATCGGGGTGGCAATCCCAGAAATCAGACCCACAGGAACACAGCGGGGGCAAATCAATGTTCCAGAGTTTGATCTTTTCCCTCATCTGGGCTCTCAGGGCTTCAACGTACCTGCAAGGGATCAAACATTCACCTGTGCCAGTGCCAGCTGGCTCTGCACAAGGAGCCTGGRCTGGCTGTACCTCATGTGCTCCTTATCCCGCTGCTGTCTGTCCTTCACCCTCCTCTCCTCCAGCTGCAGCTGGGCCAGAGCTTCCCAGGTTCCCTCTCCTTGGGAGAGCTCTCTCTCCTCAGCCATGTCTCGCATCCTCTGCTCCTCTGCCCGGCGCTGCTTCTCCTTCTGCCTCTTGATCCTGCAGGAACACACGGGTTTAGGGAAGGAGCTTCCCCATCCTAATTCCTGTCTGGTCCCCGGCTGTGACAGCAGGGCACAGGAATCTGGGTGATGCTGCTGCTTTCAAAGGCAACAGTAACTCTGCACTGACCACAGCATTAAATAGAAATAAATGGAAACAAAGAGAAATAAATACAGAAATAAATACAGAAATAAATACAGAAATAAATACAGAAATAAATACATTTGCTTTGAACATAAAAACAGTCAAAAATGCTTTGTGAGCCTCTGTTCTTCTCCCATACAGCAACACCAAGCTGTGAATGTTCTCCTGCCCTCAAACTCGTCCTGCCTGCCTGTTTTCACACCATCATGGACTTTCTCTTCTAGTTCTTTTCAGCATCACATCCACACTCCCTCCACCTACAGTTCCCCAGAGCTGTGCTTCTCTCCTTAAACCAAGCATCAATCCCAAGGCTGGGCTCTTTAATCCCCACCAGAAGGGACCAACAGCTCAGCTTCCCAGCTTCCCCAATTCCCACTGCCTCTGATTCTGAGCTTGGATCCTTCCACCAGCAGCTTCCAGCACAGGGAAGCATAACAGGGCTKCAGCAAAGACACTCCAAGGATCCCCCCTTTACTCCAAAACAGGCTTTAAGACATATTTTTAACCAAGTTTTCCTCTATTTCCTCAATCTCCCTTGCACCTACATATCCCTCCAGCCCTTTGGTGTAGCCTGGGTTGTTTCATTCCCACCAAACACAGCACACATTCCCCTGGCAGGCAGAAACTGCAAAGCATGAAGGCTTTACATCCACATATCTGACGTTTTATTGCCAARTGCAACAATGTGTCCCAGGAGGTGTTAAAACACAAAATCGAGGCTGGGAAGAAGCCAGGGGAAGGCTGTGTCATCAGACAAGACATTTCGGATCCTCCTTCATGCAGGAGGTTAGATCTTTACATACAGAAGGAAAGTGCTGAAGTCAAACTTCTCTAGTTGAGTTATAAACTCAGAAGTAGTTTTAAATAAAATGTAGAGCCTTAAATACAACACCATAAATCTGTTCCAGAAACKGAGGCCAAGGCCAACTTGGGGCTTTACACCCTGTAATTACAAACCCAGCTCTTCTTTGCACACACTTSAARGGAAAAAATAATAATAATAAAAAGGTATCACACAAACTAGGAAGTTGCTGGGGCCATGCCAGCATTCACAGKGTAGGACAAGCTCTCTGAAGCTCCCAAGTGTCATCAGAATGTCAGAGATGGGGCTGGACAAGCACTGCTTTAGACTCACAGCTTTTCCCCCAAAAAATGTCTATCAAAATCCTGCCCTGCAGTTCCTGTCCTGCTTCCACTAAATCTGGTCACAGAAGAGCCAGAATGGTCAGAGTTAGATCAGCTCATTCAAAGGAAAGCCAGGGAAAACACAAAATTGGAGGGTATTTCCTATTTTGCTRTGAATTTGCAGAGCTCCTCTTTAAGGAACTCCTTCAAGGGAGAAGCTGAGAAACCCTACCCACAACTGACACTTTTACACAGAAACCGAGTGTTCAACTCTGGAACAAACGCCTGGAAATTATTTTATTACACTGTATAAGTTTTTATGGCKGTGAGGGTGAAGGGTCTGATACTAAAAATGTCAGGGATAGTCACAGCTTAACCACAATGACGTGACCTCACCCCAAAGTTTCTAAACACAGGCTGGGGTTCCAAGAGTCATGGTTTGGGAAGCTGCATCTCTCCCAGCCCCRTGTTTTGGCTCCCAACTCCTAAACAAGCTGCACAGGGACTTGAAAATGAGACAGAGAAGCACTAAAGGACTCAACATGGCCCTTTGGGGGTCTCTCTTKGGGGGTTGGTTGTGTGAATCCCACCCCAGGAAGGTCACAGATCAGYGCCTGGCTTACACCAGACAAGCTCACAAGATCTTTCCAACCTCCTGAAGGTCCCTGCCCTGATGGAGGAGTGACCCCACCACSTGCACAGACTCACTGGGCAACTCTCTGCTGCCTCTCTCGCTGTCGCTGGTGCTCCCTCACCCGCTCCCGCTCCATGGCCATGAAGAGGCGCCGGCACCGCAGGAACTCGATCTGCCGCTTCRGAGGAGAAGAGAAGGACATTTGGGATAAGTATCAGCTTAATTTCAGGAGCATGGAACCTCACTCTTTCCCCAAAAGACCCTCAAACATCCCTGAGTGCACGTGACCCAGGGCTGAAAGCTGGAGAGATGGCCCTGAGGCAGGAAAGACCAAGTCATCTCGAAGCATTGAAGGGCTTTGTACCAGCATCCCTCCACTGAAGCTTTCTATGGACAGAAGATTCTTAAAYTCTTGCTTTGCTGAGGGTAAAAGARCCRATTCAGACTTCAACCCACTTGAATTTGGATCCACCTGGAGACTGGTGCTCCCTTGCAGCTCACTGGAATCCTGTATCTCCTCCAAAAGATGAACTTACAACACCAAGCTGGATTCTCTGCATGTGGGAGAACCACAGAGGTTCCACTGCTGAGACAAATCCAGGGGCCCTGCAGGGAACAACTCCCTTATGGATCCTGAGGGTTCAGTGCCTGGGCTTTGGCTGATCCCACTGATGCACCAAGGGCAGGGAAAACTCCTGGCTAAAGCTCACATCAAAAGCCCTCCCATGGGAGTACAGAGACAGTTTGAGCTCCATGACTCCCAAAAGTTTAAGGCATAGATTTTTTCTCATGAATGCCAAAACCTTTGGACTGAGTTTGTCCACCTCAGCCAGTGGAGAAAGCCCAGCACAGCTGGAGATAAAGGAGAAGGAGGAGGAGGAGACATCACCAGGCTGCCAGTGAAGAAAACWGGATGGAAAAAACCCAGACAGGGGAGAGTGCTGCAAAACCAGTTATCTTGGATGGATCAGAGCCAAGGAGATAAAAAGCAAGGGGAGAGGGAATGGTGGAGTTAGGAGGAGCAGYCTGAGAAGCCCCAGCTGTTGTCACACTGGCAAGAAACCACAGCCATATTTGGGATCAGCTAGTTGGAAAACACTTGTAAGGAACAAAAAACGTGCAAATTGTTCAGAGTTTTACGCCACACACTGCAAGAAAGGTGACAGAAGGAGAGGGAAATGTTCCTCTTCATGGCAGGAGGAAGCAGGAAAATAAAAGTCACTGGCTTTAGGCATCCAAGACAAATATCATCACTCTGTATCACTCAGATCAGCATGAGCCAAACTGTCCAGGACACAGGCTGTAAACACTCACTGTGAAATCATCTACTCGGCATCAGGCCTGCAGGCTGGGCTTGAGACTACCCCAACATCAGAGAAACCTTTATATTCTACCCTTGTGCCTAAACAAGATAAATTTGGCTTTGTCCTTTCTTTTCTTTTTCTCTTTTTTAAGCATCTTTGGCAGCTTCTTGGGCTCCCTGCAACTACAGCAAGCGTCCCTCAGTTTCGCCAGGCAGAAAGAATGGAGTTTGTTTCTCCTTCAAGATGTTGGTGTTATTCAGATTCCAGATTTTGCAGGAGTACAGAACAGTTGCACTTAGTCATGGCAGATCTTAAAAAATAACCTGGTAGCTTTGCCCAAGACTTGAGACACCATGGAATCTGACAAACTAAACTGAGTAGGGGTTTCATACGTCAAAGCTCCTCTCCTCTGAGGCTTCTTATCTGAGGCAGCAGCATTCCCAACACCCAATCCCTTTCAAAAAAAGCCACGAGGGCTTGGCTCCCCTGGACAGACCTGCTTCYTGGTTTCCTCTTGGTCAACACCAGCCCAGAGTATGAGGGGAGGTTGGTATTCAGTGTGTGGCCTCCCAGGAGGCTCAGGCAGGCTTGAGTCCTTGACCACTCCATCATAGACCTGAGAGACAACAGAAAGGAACAGCATCAGCATCACCAAAGTTAAATTTCTCATATTTCCCYACAAAAATGCCCTTCACTGGAGGCAGGTCCCATGTGGGATCCCTGCAGACCTCAGTGAGATGACCCCCCTGTGAAATGGGGGTGACCCACCTGTTTATCAGTGGTTTGGGTTGGCCATGAACAGGAGAAATGTGCCACATCTTGACAGAGTCTGAGCCCCAAAGCTTTGTCAAACTCTCTAAAGATATCCTCAGAGGAGGGTTCTGGTTTAGTTTAAATATGGATGAACATCTCCCCATYCCAAACTTCCATTATGAACTTCATGAAGTGTGACAAAAAACTAAGTGTAAGGGGAATTCCACAGCCAACATCTCCCTAAACCTCAGTGTAAACCTCAGCATAAACTTCCGCTGTCTCCCCCCCGCTCACTATCTGCCCAGCCAGTATTTCTGCTCCAAGCTGGACTAATCCCCAGCCAAGGTTGGGCACACACTGCCACAGCCATAAAACCTCTGCCAACCACCCCAGGTAAACAGGATGAACCATTTCCTCCCCCCAGACACTCAAAAAAGCTGCCTGAAAACAAAAGAGGAACGATAAGTACATCAAGTACATCAAYCCCTCCTAGGGCAGCACCTGCCACCCCCAGGCACTAGGATTGCCACAGCCACCTTCTTCATCTGATACAAAGCTTTTTGTTTTCCTGCCACCCTTTTCTATGAGTTTTCTGACTGATTTGATCTCTTCCACCCTCAGGTCTTGCAGTGTGGTCTGAGCAGGGCTCTGGTTGTGATATGACTGTTAAGCCCTCGGTTTCAGCTTTGTCTGGGGGGCCAAATGGCATCACAAGTGGGCAGGAATCGAACCCCTTCAAGGCCACAGCTGTACATGAAAGCAGAGAATGGCAGCACCAATCCTACTGAGCTCCAACACTCCAGCCTGCTTAACAGCTAAGCAGGAGCTTAGTTGCTGAGGGAACAACTACTCAGAGAGCAGCCTCTTCCAGACTGCAAAATAAATGTAATGATCTGAACCTCCTAAAAACAACTTTGCACAAGTCTTACTTTTCCTAATTCAATTTTGATGTAGAAGTCATCATCCTGCCCAATGCCATTTGTGGCTGTGTCCTGCTCCAGCAGCTCAGCAGGCAGATCGTGGTGTCCCACCAGCAGCAGCTCCTCACTCTCATCCACGGGCACCAGGGCTGCAGGGCAAGGGTCTAGTTTCTGMAGAAGGGAGGACATGGGTGTAACTGTCACTGAAACTGTGGGAAAAACAAAAACTCTCTAAYAACATTTTAATGYTAGAAAGTCAAGGCATTACTTTAYTGTCTRGCCAGGATGTTGTTCTGGCCAAGATGTGCCACAGAAATAATTTCGTCCTCACACAGCCTGGATGTGCAGGAGAAATAATTTTAGGACACACAAATTTKACAAGATTTGACATGGAATTGAAATCTGGCTGCTTTGGCACCACGGGAAAATGGGACACCCTTGGAGCAGCTTTAACACCAGGGTGTGTGCGCTGTCACTTGGACATGATCAGCAATGCAGCACGGTGAGTGGGACTACACTCTCCCCAAGTGCAGAAGCAACAGGACAGACATGTGGGGTGAAGGCAAGCAAGGCAAAAACCTCTCCAGGCACTGCTTCACAGTGGCAAGGAGCTGGGATCTCTGAGCGACACCCGAGCACAGAGTGCATTCCTTCAGATGGGAAGTGGGCAGGCTCCCAGTGGCAATCCACAATATTTTGAGAGGCAGCAGATTGTTTTCTACAAACTAAAGAATCAAAATGCCAGAAGCAAGCTTGGAGCCAGGATAATTTTTTTTTTTCTCTTGCTTTTTATTTTTTTTCCTTTAGCATGGTGGGAAGGGAAGAGCAGGACTGCTGACAGGGAAAGGATGGATCAGTAGGAGAACAGGTCATGCCATGAATTCCTTGATGCTGCTGCTGTTTGGGAAGGACAGAGAATAGCCTGGAGTCAGTGTGAACATGGAATTACTTGATAGGCACAGAAATTACTCCATCAACCCCATTATAAAGAAATATGACAGAATGGCTGCTTCAGTGAGGATAAAGGGAAGGGTTATTGCTTYGGATGGTCTGGAGCACTGAAGGCAGAAAGACATGAAACTGGAAAAAACCTACCAACTTTGTGGAATAAGACATTGGGGGAAAGAATTTGGGTGCTGCCACGCTGGYGACCTACAAACCCTGCCCACCACACCCTGAAAGCAAAGACTCAGTGTACAGGATGACCGTGGAACACTGGACAGGTCATTTCCAGGCAACTACCATTTCAGTATCTGCTTGGGAAAGCAAGGAATTAACTCTTTGGATGCTTATGACCTGWAAAGAAATCTTGTGGGAAGAGAAAGAGCAACGATTTTAGGAATATGGATTATTGATCACAGAGAATGCAACATTTTACAAGGAAAAAGGAAAAAGAAGAAGAAAAATGCAGAAAACAGGACTGAAGGAGAAAAAAAAAAAAACACTTCAGCCAAAGGACAGCAGGAGCAGGGAGAAAAATGCTGGGACTATTACTGGGAAGAAAAGGTCGGGTTATCCTAGAAGCTGAGATTTTTAAGGAGGAACAACCTGCCCTGGACTACTGCCAGGAGCAGCAGCCAARGTGCAAACAGCTCCCTGAAATCTGTGGGGGTCCTGATTATCAGAAAAGGGCACAAAGGAGTATCTCTCTTTAAAGGAGAGGAAAGGAAACACCAAATAGAAGACTTTAGCCTCAAGAGTTTAACTTAGTGACTTTCAAAAAAAAACAAGAGGAAATCACCTTGCAAACTGCCTGTAAGCCACAAGAAAACAAGATAAGCACTAACTAGCATAAATTTGTCAAGAGCAAGTCAGGTCAGGCTGAGCTGAATGGCTCCTACAATAGAAGGAAGAGGCCTCAGGCAAAGAGCAGCAGAAGACTCTGGGGTTCAGCTGAGCTCTTGAAGTGGCCTAATTCAACACTGGGGTAAAGMAAAACCTGTTAGATGGAAGTCTGACATGGGATGCACAAAACTGATTAAAAACATGGCCCAGATTTGGTCTCAGGAGTTCACTGCACAGAAATAGGGTAAGAACRGGGTGGGCTCTGCTCTTTGATTTCATTATCAGCCTGGGTGAAGCAAGAAAGGAGCATCTTGATTAAGCTATTGACCCCGCTTGCATTGCAGAATTATTGGGTGAAAAAAACTCTGGTTTAAACCAAAGAAATGGGCTGGAATACACAGAATGAGGAAATCCAGGGAGGGCAAAAGCAGAGACAGCACTACTAAGGGGGTTAAGTCCATGGCTGTGTCTGTGGCAGCCTTTTGCACCTGAAGAGAAGGGAACATGCTGCTGCCCTGCCAGGCTGGGAACATGCCAAACCTTCATACAGGGAAAGAGATTCAGATTAATATTAGAGCTTTTTTCTCCTCATATATCACGGGGTAATAAAACAGAGCAATGCAATAAATCAATACATTCCTCCCAGAATAAATCRCCCAGGGAAGCTGTTAAGCCTTCTTATGTAGATTAAGTGTAGCTGCAGTGAGGCTGGGGTGGGAGGATGGTCCCAAACCCCTCCCAGTGTTTCTCACTGCTGTGGATGACTTGCCCAGGACTCCCACGGGTCTCCTGCAACCCTGTGGCTCACCTGGGCAGTGGCTCTGTTATTTATGGGGTCATGAATCAACTCATCTCACTGAATGCATTGAGAGCTCAGATGAGAGGGATGTTTGCTGTTGGAAACAGGTAACGAKGTTTTTGAGCCCATGATTATCGTGTTTTTTTAAGTCCTGTTTGCAGAGCTGACTTCATCAGAAATCGAAGAGTACACAGAAAAAGAGCYAGACCAGCCCTTCTATAAAGGGTATTTTCTAGATAATCAGCCAAGATCTACTTCACCTTTGGTGAACCTGAGAAAGAGAAGGGAATGAAGACTTACAGGATGGGCAGGAAACTGGCTCCAGAGGCCATAAGACAAAACACCAGGCTGGGTTGCTGCTGGCATTCCCCAAAGCCAGTTTAGGAAAGACCTTGGCATAGAGACTGAGGTAATAGCTACAATATAGAGCTGTTCTTGAGAACCTGAGGGGCAAAAGCATGATGAAATTCAGCAGAACAGAAGGTGGGAGTGACCTCCTTCCATGCAGTGCTTCGAGGAAAGCAGCCTGCGTGCCAACCATTCCCCAGCAGAAGCCAGCCCCGGGTGAGGAAAACCCTCCAGATCTTTACCACCCACACAAAACAAAGGATTGATGTAATGGAAGGAGTTGTTGAGGTTTGAAGAAATAAAGGCACCTGAAGGGAGGGTTGGTCCTCACATTCCTCCCAGATACTCAGATMACAATCTCAACCTTTAAAAGTCTTTTTTGCATTCTTGAGCTCATCACAGAAATTTTTTCACACACTTTATCCTGCTGCCTTCTCTGAAAACTGGGTTGCCCACACATGGGTCAGCAAAGCACAATTTATTTCAATCCTGCTGGAGAAACTTCCGCTTTGGATTTGCTAATTAGAGCCAAACCTTCAAAATTCAAGGTGATTTCTGTGTCCCCACCCCAGRCAGCCCTTGCTCACCTCCCGTCTCCAGGCACCAGGGGACCTGGTCCTGCAGGACGCCAGCCTGCGCCGCACTTGCTTCACAGCYTTGCTGAGCTGCAGCCAGAGGGAAGGCAAAAAAAAAGACAGGACAAGTTCAGCTGCATGGAGAGATCTCCCAATCAGTCTGCTGCAGCCAAGGAGTGCCATCGAGGCAGCAGGACCCAACACAMACTCAGCCAGAGGGGCCTTTCAGAAGTGCTCCAAAATAAAGGGTGCCCCAAGTAAGTAGGCCTGGAAATCCTGATCCAGGCAACTCATCTGCTCCCAAAACATGTTGTTGAGATGCCAGATCCCAAATTTTCCTGCTTGGTATCCAGCCAGAAGTGGTTTTCCACCCCAAGATACTTTAAGTGGAATGCATTCCATGGTGCTTCAACTGGAATAACTCCAGCTCCTAGGCAAGCACAMAGGCTTTCTAAAGCACCAAATGCACCATAAACATCACTATTAAAAATAAATATGCTTAAACAGTCCTGAAGGCAGGTTTTCCCAGATTTTGGTCTGCAGAAGACAAGCTGCAATGAGTTGGCACCACCTAGTGCCACCTCTGCGCCAGGACACGGCTGGRAAAACACCGCGTTTGGGAGCAGCCAGGACACTTCAGCCACAACATCCCCACCGAGCCACCCAGCTGTGACAGTGCTAGCTAACATTTCATTCGATATCTAAACCCAAATATTAGGGATGTGCTGTAAAGGAAAACAAGAAACATTGGCTGTTCTACATTTCAGACACGGAGGATCTAAAGGCTGAAGCAGAGACGGAAAGGCAGGAGGGGCAGGGCTCACCTCGGCAGCTTGTTGCTGGAATGGCTCATCGTGCATCTCTTCCTGCCAGGATGGGCCAGAGCCAGCACCGGGCCCACAGATGATGGGAGCAGGGATATTCTGGAACAGGCACGGGTTCTTCCAGGGGGCTGGGTACTGCACAGCAACATTGCTCTGCCTCTCCACCTGCCAGGAAAAAAGCCACATGGGATCTCCAACCACGACCCGGTAAAATGTCAACCGTGGTGACATTTTACTCCCCTTGGGATGGAGGTTTTGGCTCTCCAGGCTGAGAAAGTACAAAGAATTATCAGGCTCTTTGGGGCTGAGGGCATTTGCAGGCTTCCTGCTTGGAGCTGGCAGTGTTACATGAGGACATCCCCAGTCAGCCATGGAAACAGCCCAAACACCCCAAGGGCGGCCAAAGCTGGTGACATCTCAGTGCATTCTCTTTTCTGCCACAGTCAGATCCTGGCAAGTCTCCCCAGCACTTGTTTGAGAGCAGAAAGGATTAAATATATTCATGGGATAATCCAAAACAAGACCATGGGGGAAAAAGGAATGTGGAGACAGAGGGAAAGTGTTGCTTGAAAACTATTTGGCTCCTCTAGAAAAGGGATCATAAAAGAGACAACAGAAAAGCTGCTTTGCTTCAARTGCAGCCAGGAGACATCCACATCATTCCCAACTCCTGCCTGGCTGTTTTTTAACTCCAGGCAATTCTGCAGAGAGCTCCAGGACTTTGTTCTGCTGTTGCCTGAGGAAGCCAGAACCTTTCCCTGGAGAGACTTCAAGCACCTCCAGCACCAGGCAAAGTGTCACGCTGACCCAGCCTGCCTAGACACTTTGCTACCACAGTGTCTGGAACCTGTGACTCATTTTTTTCTCATTAACACCTTGACTTAAACTCCAGTGTCTGGATTTTTTCCAACTGATGTTGGGTTAGAAGGAGTTTCTCCCGACAGAGCCTCACTTACTGCTTCATAGGACTTCTGCAGCTCCAGCCTCCGGCGCATCCTGACCTGCCGGTTGACCCGCTGCCTCACCTCGCCCTGGAATCTCCTCAGGCTGGCTGCCTTCTTCTGCTGCTGCTCCTTCAGCTTCTCCTCCACYTCCAATGCCGAAGCCTGGGAGAGGTAGAAGCTGATTTCACCAGGGTTTTGCTACATCGTAGCGTTAGAGCAGTTTGTATCACTGCATCCCTTTCCCCCCCACCTGGAGTGACTAGGCAGAGAAGCAGCACCCAGAGCAAMCTGCATGTTTTGTTTCAAAATCTGCGGAGTAACAGCTTGGACAATATCTACTGGGTTATTATGGGCTGGATTGAGTCTGACTAGAGATTCGGAGCATGCACACCTCTGCCTTTGCCTCCCTGCAACACACAGGGAAGGAAAGCGAAATGAAACTCAGGGAAAAGCTCCTGGCTCCTGCTCCCATGAAAGGATGCTCAAATATCCAGAGCCTGGACCCAAAAGGAACTGGTCACCCTATCATCCTGTTAATGCTCTGCAAGGCTGGAAGGGCATCAGGGAAGCAGATCACAGAGCACAGAACTGCTCTGGAATGTCTTTACCACTGGAAGTGAAAGATCAAGAGCAATGCCCTCAAAAACAAAAAAATCCCATTTTTTTCTTCTTGCAATTCTGCCAAGCAACTCTACAACACCACCATGGCCTAAATTATAACAGCATTGCTGTCCTGGCTGCCACCACAGCAAGAGACACCGGAGACTGAAGGGATGGGGAAAGGGGGGAGGCCAAAGATGAACTTGGAATGGCAGGGTCAGCACAGCCCCAAGATGGGGAGAAATCCACATTGTTAGGGATGAAACTGAGGCAGTGCCCTAGGGAACAGCCCAGGGCCAGCTCAGCAGCAACTCTGGTGTACGAGGCATTACTACATATTAATTAAAAGTGTATTAAATAAGCTGGATAACCCTGGGCAGCTTCATTCACCCCTGGAAACCTCACATGGAGGGCCCCAGGAGCATCCAGGCCCCCTGAAGCTGTCAGGAAAAGTTCAGCTTCCCCAGAAGTTTCATAGCGCCAAAATGGAAGTTCTGTGGAATATGGAGATGATTGATTTCCATATATTATCTCAACCTTTCAGGATTTAAATTACAATATAGAAATAAATCATCTCAGAAGGGCAGGAGCTTCTGTAATGTTCAGACATTAATTACAGGGGACTGAACTCATCATCCAATAWTAAATGCACTTTTAGTCCTCTTAGAATAACCCTCAAAGCAGAAATCCCCGAGATAAGCATCCATGAAGATTTCCTTAAGTGTTTCTAATGGGGTACAGTGAAGATTGGCTCCAGACCCTGAAACACTCAATTAAATTTTTTTTCTTTTTTTTTTTTTTAAATCAGAAACACAGAATAAAATCTCAACTCCCTGACATCCTTTAGGGATGAGTGGAAAAGTGAGGAACAAGCAGCACTGGTTGGGTTCTCCACCTGACTGATGTTTAAAACTGATGCATTTCTCCTCAGAAAACACAGTTTATTGGAGGGGGAACAACTTGGAGAGATGTTGTGCAACAGGGAGGCCAGACTACATGGACACCACAGCAGCTTCTCATCCCACTAAATCACATTAAAACAAATTATTACTGTTTTTACAAGCCATGTTCCTGTCTGCCTTCAGGCTGTGAAAAAGATCACTTTTGGCTCTGATGCACCCTGGGGTTTTACTGGCACATTGAGGGGTTAGAGATGCCCCAGTAGATGGTGCCCTCGGTGCACTCACAAAGGCCGGGCTTTGCTCCGGCTGCCCTGTCGCACTCTCCACCCAGACGACCACAGGAACCGCGGTCTGGTTCCTCTCGGCCACCACTCGCCAGCTGCGCCGCACKGCTCTCGCCTGGTGCCCGGCCGGGGGCTGCCCGGGGGCCCAGCGCTGCTCCTGCAGTGGGGGCACCATCCCGGCACGGCCGCGGGCCCGGCTCTGGGGACGGGAGCAGAGGTGAGGGGTCTCCCCGAGCACTCCAATCTGTACCCTGCCCCATCTCCTGCCCCCCCTGCCTGTTTCCCCTCAGTCTCCTGCTCCCCCAGCTCTCCAGCCCCCGGGTACCCCACCTGCAGCCCCCCTCTGACTGGGCACCCTCAGCCCTTCGTGCTGAGTGCCCCCAACACCCCCTGTGCCTCTCTTCACCACTGCATCCGCTCTCCCCACTGTCTCCCCAATTATCCCTCCCCAGAGCACCCCATTTTTAGCTGCCCCCCTCCTCCGAACGTCCCCAATCCTTCGTGGTAAAATCTCCCCAAATCCCCTACTCTACCGCCCCCACCCAGCACCTCATCGCCCCCCACCCCCTGTGCCCCTGTACCCTCATCTCCCCATCTCCCCATGGACCTCTGGGCACCCCTTTCACCCCGACCCTCCACAGCCGCGGGCCCATCGTCCCGTCTCTCCCCACAATCGCCCCCGTAGGCCCCTGCACCTTCATCCCCCGTAACCCCCATCGCCTCCCCTCACCCCTCTCGCGCTCCGCCCGCCCGAGCTCCCCGAGCGCCGCCGGGCCCCCTCAGGCCGCACCAACCGCCGCTTCCGCCTCCACCGCCGCTTTGAATCCCGGCGCCGCTTCCGTCGGCACGGCCACGCCCCCGGCCACGCCCCTCCCGGGCCACGCCCCCGGTGATCCACCCCCGAGCCCGCCCTCGACTCGCCCTCAGCCACGCCCCCAACCACGCCCCTTCATCATTAACCAACCACAGCCCGCCCCAGCCCCGCCTTCCGCTCCACCCCCAGGCCACGCCCCAAACTCCGCCCCTGTCCTGATTAGCCAACCACAGCCCGCCCCAGCCCCGCCCAGCCCCGCCCCTCACGGTTCTGAGGTTGCTGGTTCGAGTCCCGCCTCCGGTGCGAATGGAGAAGGGGGCACGGTGTCTGCTTCAGCGCACCCCCGAAACCGCACCCGAAGCATCCCTGGAACACCGTACACCGAGCGTCCTGAAAGTCGCTCCCAAATATCTTTACAAGGTCACACACCGCATCCTTAACCTGCTCCAAGTATCTCCTTACATCTCCCCACCGCATCCCCCTAAAGACTACCTCAAAGCATCTCACTGTAGCGTGACCCCAAAGCATCTGCCTCACGAGTCTGTCACCCTAAATGTCTCCCCAAAACTCCCTCAAAGTCTCTTTCTCTAGCATTACCCAAATCCCTGTAGGATCTCCCTATAGTGTCCTCCTCAGAAGTCCCCCAAACCCCTCCCCTTTACCATCTCCCCATAACGTTTCTCCCCAAAGCATCACCTTCCCTCTGGGACAGGATGCTTGGAGGCACCGGCCCCTTTTGGGGGTCAGGAAGCCCTCGGGGGGTGGGCGGTAGCTCACTGGGGTGATGAGCTTGGCAGGTCTCGGCGGAGGGGGGTGGGAAGCGGCTCCGGGCATCCTGCCTCACATCCCGCTGCCCTATTCAGCGATGCCCGGGGAACTCGCGCTAATTGGCATGGAGYTGGAATGAAGCCTGGATGCCACCGGGCTTCGTTTTAGACCCTGGGAAGAGGAGGGGGAAAAAAAAGCAGGGGGGAGATCTTTTGAGGTGGGGGTTCAACTTTGCAGAATATCCCTCAAAAAGAAACCCCCAGCTAAATGGAATGTTCAGAGCCCGAAATCCTATGGGATTGTCCGTGGAGGGGATGGCAAACTTCAGCTGGGCTCGATGGGGTAATGCCCCCGACCTCAAGAGCATCCCCGGGACTGGGAAAACATGGAACTGGGGGTCTGTAACCGGGGAAAAATTGCAAATCTGAGTGGTTTTTCCTCAAATAAATGTCAGCTCGAGGCCGCTGGGGAGGCGAAAGCCACCAGGACACAGGGCTCTATTGAGAAACGAAAGAACAAAAAAAAAAAAA